GGAATTTACACATTTGTAAATCAGCTCTAGCTGACTCGTCCAAAGAAGTTGTGGAATCGTTGTCGGGGAGACCGTGCAACAGTGAGAGGATTCTGGAAATGAAAGACCTACCCTGAGGAATTATTCTCATTGCAGAATTTAGTGAACCGAGTAGTGATTGTAGCTGTTTCCTGGTGCAAGTGCCTTGTGAGGTGCAGATGTTTATGTAAGACAGAATCCGGTCTATTTTCTCTTGAGGCAGGCTGGCCTGCATAGAGACAGAATTGAGTGTAATTCCCAGGAAAGTAATCACTGTGTTGGGACCTTCTGTTTTGTCCTGGGCTACAGGGACTCCTAAGTCTTTGAACAGAGTGAGCATGTGATTAAGACTGTGGGGTGTGTGTTGGTGTGGTTCAATGGTGAGGAAGTCGTCTAAGTAATGTATGACTACTGGACATCTGCAAAAGTTCAGTAGGAGCCAGGTTAAAGTTTCAGAGAATATATTAAAAAACTTGGGGCTACTTTTGGATCCGAAGGTCAGTCCGGTAGTGAAATAGTAGCTGTCCTGCCACTTAACTCCATGCAGATGCCAGAGTGACTGATGGATGGGGAGTAATTTAAAGGCGTTAGTGATGTCAGATTTACTTAACCAAGCTGCCTTCCCAGAATGAATGATTGCTTGGATGGCATCGTCAATTCTGGCGTATTGAAGGGAAAAGACTTCTGACGGGATCAGAGCATTAAGGCTAGGTGTAGGGGATGAGTGAAGTGCAGAAAAGTCAATAATCAATCTCTTTTTATTGTTATATTTCCCTGTGGCGATTCCTAGAGGGTTTGTCCTCCAGGAAGTGAAAGGAGGAGTAGAGAAAGGACCTATCATGAAACCATTGGTGATTTCTTTCTGTAAGAGTTCTTGTATGCTGTCTGGATCTGTAAGTGCTGATTGTAAGTTGGGGCATTCCAAAACACCTGTGGGGAGTGACACAAACCCTGTGTGAAACCCATTAGTGAACCCAGCCGTGAGAAATTCCACCAAATGAAAAGAAGGATGATTAGCCAGGTAACGTTGCAACTTAGGTACTTTTATTGGAGTGGAAGTTTTGTTAGGGTACAATCTGTTGGGGCACATTGTATTGGCATGTGCTCTGAAACACAGTGAGCACACATGAAGAAGCCTACATGCACTATAACTGCAACCCCCGGCATTGAAATTATTGCAGACTTGTGCTTTGCCTAGAAAAACAATTGGCCTGTCTAGTTTGTCTCTTACTTCCCTCTGGGACGTGTTCGATTGGAAACCAGTTTTGACGCTACTGGTAGAAGGGGTCGCTACGTTCTCTGGACAGAAATTGACTGAATGAGCAGCAGAAGAGCATATAGCGCAGGAAGGGGTTTTAAGGCTTGCAAAATGCATAAGAAACAATTCCGTGTCTAGCTGTGCCCAATCAGTAATTGTATTGTACTGGGACAGCGATGCTGCGGATCTGGAAGAGAATGACTTATGATAATCATAAAATGCATAGCCCCCGTACTTGTATGCTAACTCGACCACTCTATGAAGGTATAAGTCAAGTTCCTCTCTACGGAGGGGGAAAGCAGTACAGATCACGTTTCTGTACAGACCTAATGCAAGGACAAATTCGGGGATGTTAAGTTTCCTATTTGGTCAGTAGTGAGGCCAAGTTGATGTCCTTCCCCTCTATGATGTCACGTCTTAGAGACTAAGGAATGAGGTGAATAGGATTTATGATATTGGTAGCTCTGTTAGCTGGTAGAGGGTTATCTTTACCTCCTGGGTTAGGTGCGGGCTGAGCCACAGGCACTGGTATCTCTGGAATGATTGGAACATTATTTGACTCCAGATTATCCAACCTATTATTAATTGTTGCTACTGAAGAAACAAGGGAGGCCATCATGATGTGGAATTCAGCAAGGCTATTTTGCACATTGAATTCAGAACTATGGCCAGGCCTTTCGTTGTCTTCAGTAATATTTATTAAGCGAAACAGTTCGGCTTTCCTGGCTGTAGCCGGGAAAGGAATATTCCTCTTTTTAAGTTCTGAGGTGATTTTAGGGATAGTCCAGGAACGATAGCTGGAAGCTGGACTTGGTGGATTGAGTCGTCTCTGCGAGCCTGATCTGAGTGGGGTGCTGGCCACTGACAGATCATCTTCTTGTGTAGAAGTGTTAGACATGCTATGAAAGTGAGGCAGATGGACAAGGTTAGTATGGTACCGTATAGGAGAGTAGTGGCCCAGCTTACTAGGATAGTGCCTACTGGCGAAATTGTATTAACTAGTTTATGTTGGTGACAGGTGAAGCCCTGACTACTTGCCAAGTGGCTATGAGAGGCACTACCTATGATTTGGCTCGTGGGGCATTTGTGCCACTGAGGTGGGTGGCAGGGTGTTGGCCTCTCGGTGACACGTAAAAAAATGTAAAACGATTGGCCGTGACGGGTGAGGCCCTAACTATGACATGATGCAAGGCTATAACTATGTATTGGGGCGATTGGGCACAAACGTCTGAACGGAAGGGCTAACCGTATGCCTTGCGGGACCACTCGACTTATAGGCGAAGAGGCCTATGGGACCATACCTAATTTGGCGAGAGCTCAAACCTACTTGTGCACCTGCCTGGGTTTAAACAGTTAACGTACCTGATGTTTGTCTTGTATGACGTATACTGAAGTGGAATGAATAATCCTTACTTGAACCTAAAACATTTCACAAATTTAATTTACATGACAAAAATAGTTGCGGCGCACTCAGATTACAAAGAATACATCATAAAGAAGGCTTCTAAATTGCCTAAGAATAAATATAAATAAATATAAATATAAATATAAATACAAATTTAATTTACAACCTAACCCCTAGGTGAAACCATAGAAAATTTCCCGCCAAGCAAAATAGTAGATACTAACCGTATACGTGGAGAGAAGAGAAAAAGAAAAATACTGTTAAGATTTGGTAGGGCGATAACCAGAACTCCTAATATGCTGTAGTTGCGTTTAACCAATAAGGCCCGTTTGTACTCAGTGTCAGTAATATCTCAACAGAGGGGAGAAAACAATATATAAACGTATATAATGTCACTTAAAATAATACTGAAAAGCTTAGTTAGCAATAAGCCATGCATTAGACCGGGCTGAGTATATAAGTAACGTGTATAACATATTAATAAACAAAGTAAAGTATGCGACGAGCTATAAGGAGAAGTACTTTAGTAATGACATTTAACTGACCTAATGGAGAATGATTTTTTACCTGCGTTGTATGACCTGAGTTAGCCACTGCTGCCAGGACAGTGATTTACCAGCAGTTAATACATGACAATTAATATACCCCACAAGAAGGTCCAGAGCAAAGAAACATATATATGCAAAATTGAAAAGTTTGTAATATATTACAAGAAAGTTGCCGACCAGTATAGCAAAACCACAAGGTGGTGACATAAGCCAAACAGACTGACTACCCGGCATATAAAAAAAGATACAAGCCTAAGTGAACGGAATAGTCGTACTATGAATGAACATGACTGTATCGTTAAACGTAATAATAAACAAGGTAGCCAGATGCAACCAAAGAACTGTGAAATAGATATCCAAAGTTCTAATATGAATTATAAGCCCAGTGTAAGTCATAATGACCAATAATTGTTAAATAAGCCATCAAATGTTTCCGCCCAGCACTCAGATATTTCATTGAGAGAAACACCAAAATGTTGTACAAGTATATAATAGTGATTTGGAAAGTGTTTATATTTTACTACAAGCGCCTGTTATTCCAGTTTGTACATAATCAGGGTTAACTTTAGAGATGCACGCCAGTAAAACCAAATTAAGAAAATGCAGTTTAATGTTTTTTTTTGTTGTTTTTTTAAAAAAAACACAAACACGTGTAATGATATAAAAAACTGTAAATAAAGACAACTTTGGACTATTCCCATTATGAACATATTATATTTCTTAGCATGCGAGGGGTGGCTGGGGCTGTTGGGAGTGACCCACTGTGGTACCTCTCTGTGTGAGAGGTGAACCAAGCAAAATGTGGGGAGATCGTGGTGCCAGTGTGACTGGCGTGAACCAGGGGAGGGGGGCTCTGTGTTCAGCGTGTGTTTGCCCGGGCCATAGTACTATGTGTACAAGAATCGCTGCAGTCAGTGTGTGTGAGTTAGACCCCCCTTTTTCCCGGCCCAGTGAACGGTGGGGCTGTGGACCCGGAAAAGCATTTGTGCCGGGTGGGCATCAAGTGCATAAGTGGGGGGGAAGCTGTATTTACTATACCGCGACCGAGAAGTGGACCTCGCCGTGAACACTCACTTCCTGGATTAAGCTGCAAACCTCCAGCACTGCGGAGAATGACGTTAGTAACACGTGAACCGGAAGTAAACGAAGTACTTCCGGAAATGTCGCTGACGGGTGAGTAGGGGCTCACGGGGTTTAAGTAGGGGAAAAAAAATTTACCTCCCACAATTACAGGCCAAGCCTATCTATATATATATATTCTTTGTTAAACTAATTTGCATGTGCCCACCCAGAATCCTTTGCGGATGTAACATCACTGCAGATTTGGGATTTCTGTGGGAAAAGCAAGTCTTATGGCTTGAATGGTGTGCAGTTTTTGTTTAACATTGTATTAACTATCCACAGACTTCAGGTGGAAGGGGTTTTCAATCACAATTTTTCCCCACCATAACCTATTTGGATTTTGCTTCCCAAGCACTACCAAGCCTCAATAAGCAAACCAGTAACCAACCTCATGCTGAAGAGTTGCATTAACAACGAAACAGCTGTCCATGAGTGGTTCACTGGTTTTTCATCTTTTCCTAAATTGTGTTCCAAGCAGTTGTATACTGCAAACACAGATTAAAAGGAATCCATGTTTATAATGGAATTGATACCGGAGAAACTGACGGAAGCAAAGCACAGAGAGATGGACACAGGTTTCTTCAGGAAGGAAGAGATTCTTTATTGGATCACCGATCGGGACTCAGAGGGACTAATGTCACCAAAAATACAGCAAGTTCTGAGCCCTGAACAATAGTGCAGGCTCCCTATATAGGCACATAACTCCTCCCACATTAAGCTCCACCCGCACATTCTCTTGACCAATCATTACAAATAAGAATTAACTTCCTGCTTGACCGCATGGCTTGTCCAGCACAATGGAGGAGGGGAATACTACATCCTGTATTCTTGCACATGCTCCGTACACTACTGATCGTATCTTGCCTCGTGCAACCAACTGATCGATACGTCAGCATATGCACGTGCACGTGCCACGTGGTAATCTCGGCCCACTAAATTTATTTTTACCGAGATTCCACCACATTCCCCCCTTTGATGCCTCTTGATATTTTACAATTACTTGAGGCATCACTTAACCTTGGTTTACATACACCACAAGTTACCTTTGAACCAGACCAGACTTATCCTATGATGTGAATCTTCAACACTCATCTTCCTGCATTAGTTCTCCCTGATCTAGAGCCTTATATTTATAAATTGCCATTATCTGTGCAGCAGCCTTCCTCTCTGCTATATTTTCTATCAGGCTTTGCACAGACCTAACTACTAAGGGTATAAGACACGGCAGGAGTAGACACAACATTAAAATCAGTAGGACTCCACCTACCACTGCCTTAAGCCCTCCAAACCACTCATACCAGCTACCAAACCAACTACTTGGATTGTACCCTTTCCATACCTGAGTAGGCACATGCGCTAGTTTAACCATATGGCTAGTAAGCTCAGCTATTGCTTGCCCTTCGTCATCTATTTGAAGACAGCAATTGCTCAGGTTAAACTTCCCACATACACCTCCCTCTACTGCCAAAAGATAATCCAAGGCTAATCTATTTTGGTAAACTGCTGTCCTCATCCTGGTATTATGCTTCGCTAGAAGATTGAGCGCTTGTGATGTCTCGTTAGTAATGATCTCAACCACCGCCTGTAACCTTATAATGCGGTTGAGCATATAAATAGGGGTTCTATAACCAAAGGTACCATCCTCTGCCCACGTGGCTGGCCCATAATAATCTATAATACGCTGGGGAGGCCATTCATTATCTTCCCAGGCACCTATCTCTATGGGTCCCCTTTTCTTCCTATGATTCACATCATACACTTTAACACCTAAAGTCTCACCTGTTTCAATAGGCAACAAGAAGAAGGATGGTTTTAACATACCCAACACACATGCCCCTTCCCAGTCCTGTGGTAACTCCGAATAGGCCTTCTTACCACAGATCCAGTACAAATTCGCTGGGGCTCTCCAGTTAGATGTGATGGATAGATCAAACCATACGTCCTTTAAATTGGCATATCTTGCAAACGGGTTAGATGGTTCTGAGACATTTGAAGCCGACCACCAAGTTGTATTCTTTGTATCATCATCATAAGCTTTTTGCCCTAGACAAGTTAATTCTCCTACAGAAGTATTATACATCATTCCTTTCCTCGCTATGCAAACATAACCTATGATGGAGGTCTTCAATCTCCACTCAGATTTACCTCTAACACTCATATGATAGTCGGCTTGTATAGATATTAATTGGTCAACTGCCTCAGAACCGGACATTACCTCCTTTGCTTCCCAAGGCCATTGGTCTCCCATGTTAGTACCTCCACACACATAGCAGTTGGTAACATTAAGACTACCGGCAATACTCTCGGCTAAATCAATGAACAAGTTTTTAGCATTATGGGGGATCTTATTATCTATGCTCATCTCTTCATAAAAGGAATGGTATACTTGATGAGTTTGGGAGGTTACCGTATCAGTCTCTATCCCTATAAACAATATTGTCCCAGGGTCTAAACCTGTCCCATATATTTGAAACCCAAATAAATTACCATATTTATCTAAGAACTTGTCAGGGTTATTTATAAGTATATGGATTGGATTGCATTCCATAGACTTACAATATGGATCAATAGGCAACTTAGTCACAATCATGTCCTTGTCTGCTGTCTGTCCCCAAGTCGCCCACCCCACACAAGACCAATATGGGCAGAAGTTATAATCTCTATTTGGGCATCTTGGACTTACATATTTATTTTTACTACTGGGACAAATATATTTATCGTTAGACCCATACGCCCTCTCCCATCTAAGATCCCCACATACATTCCACGGCTTTCTACCACTTGATATTGCTTTACACGCATCAAATAGCAGAGCACCTGAAGAATATACGGATTTTAATACCGTCTTATTAATTAGGGTCCCCTGAGAATCTCCATTTCTGAGAGTCAACCAAATTGTACGGGGTTGATACTCAAGACTGAAGCACTTAGGTTCTCCTACTCCTAAATGACACACACTATATTCTATATTTAAGTATCTACATCTTGATACATCTCCTTTACACTCATATTGCGAATGGGATTCGGCCATCATTCGGCGATGGGACTTAGTCTTTTTTTCAGCCGTTTTTTTCAGCCTTATTTCAGCTGCAGAGACAAAGTCCCATTCGGCGATGGGACTTAGTCGTTTTTTCAGCCTGAAATAGACCGACCTCACAGCCCAAATCTATGGAACTGTTTCGGGCAGGAAAATGTGCTTGCCGTCGGTCATAA